ATGAACCACAGAATGTCATTGTCTGCACATACTTATCATGTGAGAGAAATCATTGAAGAGCCTCAACTTTATCAAATATACTACAACCCAGAAAGTGCAGCAAAAGAGACTCATAATTGTGAAGAAAGCAACAGCCATGAACAAAATATAATATAGAATTCATTTGTGTGTATCAGTGGCAAAATCAGCAATGATTTAATTACAGAGGCTGCATAATGCAGCCATGAGGAAAGCAACAGAAATAGTCTGCAGTTCTGCTTAGGTTTGAACAGTGTTACTACAAGACAAAGAATTCTATATAGCCAATCGCTACTCACAGTTAGCATAACAATATTTCACCTTCTATATCAGCACTTACAAGAGAGGGTAGATGAAACAGTAATACGGAGAGTGAAATTGATCAAGTAATTGGTCAGAGAGGCCAAGACAGATATAGAGGAGATATGCTCACACCCCAGTGGCTCAGCGATAAGTCTTAGAACCTATAACGCTAAAGATTAGGCACGACAGAGATAGTTCATTGTGTAGCTTTTTGCTTAACAACAAACAAAGATAAGTCCAATGGAAAACAGCAAGAGTATTTAGTTGGTCCAGGCAGATAGGATTAAGTTAAACGCAATAAAGACTGGCTGCAGGATGTGGAAGGAAAGGTCAGGACTGGTTAACATAGCCGAAGTCATGGAATACATATACGTGCAGTTACTGACACTACCATGGAAATGGACGGCTCAGTTAGGAATGACGTGACTACACAGACAGGAGCCATGTTGAGAGTTGTGATCTAGTGTTAAAAAGGTTAGCGGCTAAAACTGGGTGATCCAGATCACTCAGAGCAGAATCGAAGCATACGAGAGCACACTTGTTTGATCGACTAGTAACAGTAAAGATCGTGATAGGACTGTATTTTTTATAGACTTCCTAAACTTCATCACAAAATTGGAGGCAGGTTTTGTCCAAAGAACATGGGTAGAAACCTTTGAGAGACTTGAAGGCTCATCTTATAATGACCTATATTATAAGCATATAATATAGGTAAGGTGCAGCCCTTGGGCTGCATGATAAGATCTACAAATGATGTCATCAATGTAATAGAACGTTCATTGAAGGAACAGGAAAAGATGGAGCAAAGGTAGCACTAGTCAACTGGACAATAGGTGGAATTGTGGAAGTGGAACGAGCATGAAAGCATGTAGAAAGGGCAGATGTTACTTATATCGAATTACGCAATATTATTTGAAGAACCTTAAGGAGATTATTAGAGAGAGGAGAGTCAGTGCCAAAATCCTAAAGTGTATAATAGTAATAGAAGTAATAGTATTAAAATCAACCTGTTTACACTGGGTAATTGGTGTTAAATAATAAAAGTAAATAAAGAATATAGTACAAACATAAATAAAACATTATAAACAATAATTATTAATAGTATTAAAGTCAAAAAAAAAAATGTTCCCGGTCGATGGTTCTCAATTAGGGACAGAACCAACTACCTGGATTGCGAACTGACAAACGTGCTGTAAGGAACTACACAATTGAAGGGAGGAGAGCCTGTACTTTGGCTGATTGTAACCACCTCTATCGTTTGAATGAAATAAAATAGACGTGTGGCATGAAGTACGTTTATAGAAAATATTACTGAAGAGAGATATTGTTGGACGTTTGTCCTAAAGGTATTAAAACTCTAACAAACATCTGGAGAATGAAACAGATATTGATGTTATTCTATATAAAGTCATGCCTATTAAGTCGCCAGATGCACCTACTGTTTTCTGTGCAATCAAACTATTGAAATAGGCACTAGGAAACAGTTTTCCTTGTACAATGGATGGATTATGGAAACCATCAAAAATAAGTAGTGTGCTTTGGACATGACTGTTTTACGACTGAGCCTTTGACAATGGAAACTAAGCTGCAAAATTAGTTTCAAGATACTGTTGCTATGGGCTGGAAATGGCATGGTGGGGTTCCAAAATCGTTTTAATATAACATTCTCAACCTCTGTATTTCAATCTGTAACTGAAAATAAAAGGGACAAAAGTATCTAAAACTTATGTAATACACCGTACAGAAATTACCCTGACATTGTTTTCAAAGTATCATGCACATACACGACTGTAGAGATAGAAAATAACCCATTAAATTGTTATTCCATCAATCCAGCTTGCTTTCTCTATTGTTATACAGTCGAAGACATATACATGTACGAAGTTACAAAACACCATTCATAGCGGTATATACTATTTATGTGGTTAAGAACACAGAATATATGGTAAACTTATATTACTAAATATAAATAATGCATACTTTTAAATATGTTGCCTGTACACAGGAAAATTTCTAAAATAAATATTTTACCGTGAAAAGTAGAACGAAGCAGAAACAGTTCAGATAAATATATAAGTTAGAACACAAGTTTAAATGAAAACTTTATTTTTAGAACATTTTGGGTAGACGCCATTCGTGACGCAGTACAGTCTGTTACACGAAAGTTAGGCAAAGAAACAGTCGTTGAGGGTGTAAAATGTACAAAAGTTCTAATTATAGCCGTCTCATAATCCTATCTTATAAACACACCTGGACAGTAGGCTTCCAATACAGAACAGGATCTAAAATCATGGTGGGTAACTACAGGAGAGCGGTGAGAAATGAACGAATGAGTCAAAAAAGTAAATGTGGTAGTCACAATAAACCTACATGGAAAACAGCAGAAGAGGAGCAAGCCTGGAAAGAGAAGATTGAGGTCCAAAAAACATACACTGAAGCCAAAAGTTATAATAAAGGAGAAAATGAGATCAAGCAGAAGAGAGCAGAGTTAAATAAAACACCTTCAGAGGTCAAACAAACAAGCAGAGAAGTAGGCAGGCAATATGAGACAATTTTAGAAAGGAATGCGATCCAGCAGACACCTGTATATAAAACCAATTTTGAATATTGGTAAAAAAATGATAAAAATAGTATAATGTGTATGTGTGATGGGATTAGAGGAGATCAAAAGGCAGAATGGTCAATGTCTTAGCCACATACAAGAATACAGGCAGGCCTGTGTTACATGATCATGGTAAGAAATGAATGACAGAATTCAACAGAGAACTGACCCATGGTCAGGAATGCCAGTGAGTCGAGGATTTCGAATTTCCTAGAAAGAATATAGATAAATCTACTTGGGCAACATGTCCATCCAGAAAAATGTATGCAATAATTTGTAGCTCAGCTATGATTAGTAAAACGCGGCCTCCTATAAAAGGTGAGAATTTCGAACACAAAAGTCATTGCCAAAAGCCGTCCACAGCCTTCAGGATATAGCACGCAACACAGACAAGATAGATCTCTGTCTGGAAAAGCAACACAAGTCACGTGTATACAAATTACTTTCACGACATAGACAATACATCAGTTCAACCGTAGCGTAACTGTTGACTGAAGCCGTCGATGTGCCATAAGCCTAAAAAAGGATTTAAAATGCTACATTTACTATCTATTAACATGGTTACACGTGACAGTTGTTGACTGAAGCCGTCGATGTGCCATAAGCCTAAAAAAGGATTTAAAATGCTACATTTACTATCTATTCTACTTACACTAATTTATTTTGATTATTAAAGTAGCATTAATATTCCATCATGTCGTAGATATGTTGTTTAGGTTTTTTTTATCTAAAATTGATTGTATAGTCTTAAATAGCTTGCTTACCTAATATTTACGTTTTATTCGGTCTCAAAATACGTATTCGCGTATTTTATCGCTCTATAAATCTGATCGTATATTTTCCTAAACATCCCTATTTCAGTTTTGTACCTTTATTTTATGTAATATTTTATGTTTTCGATTATTTAACATTTGTATATCTACTCATCTATGTGTTTTGTTAATAGCAATCAACCATGTTATCATTTTTATAGCTGTTTCTCGTCTAAATTTCTCTTGTCTATCTAATACTAATATTTCAGGTATCGCTTTCATCCAAAGTTCGTTAAAATATATGACAGCTGACACTTTTACTTATTTGTTCACAGTTTATTAGGCCTGACTATTAAGAACTCTACTTAATGTATTTTAACAATGTAAAACATAACTAACACAATTTTTTATTGGAATTCAAATACAACTATTGACCAGAAAGTGTTCAAGTGTAATTATACTTGCTTTCTTTCATCTTTTAAATCAAAGTGATTTTCGATTAAAAATATGAACCACAAAGCATTATTACATTGGAAAATAATTTGATATAAAAAACTAAGTCACATTTAGGAATTGTATAGGCAATTTTCATAAGGAAATTAAGAGAAAAATGTTTACATGAACCATTTTAATTTCGTTTAAGTACATTAAAAACATAATTACAGTGTGAACGTCATGATCATTGGTGAAACAATGAAACCAATAGGCCTGATATTTGTATTACGAGTCACGTTCTGCTGTTTATGTTTTTCACATTTCTATCATTTGTCCATTACAGAGTTTAAATCCGAGGTGTGTAAAAATTGCGTTTCAGATATATCTTTCGTCTCTCCAAGTTACTGCATAAGAAGCCTGTCGTTCAATAACAGAACTAATCAGCTGGACTACACGAAGATTCTGAAACGCTATATATGTATATGCAGAAACGTCAATAACTCACTCTTATTTGAAAACATAATAGTTATATTAAGAAGAATGTGGAAAACAATATGCAGTCTAACCTGATATTAATGATAATTTCTTCAAAATAACCGTGTATACCGCAGGAACGATGAAACTTACAATTTTCAGAACTTAATTTAGTTTATTTTGTAAAAGAACACATTCTGACTATTGTCTGTCTTCAAATAAAAAACAACCCTTTTGCCTTAACAGTAAGACAAAAGATTTAAAATTCAAACTCCATCTAAAAATCTTAATTGCCGGAAACGGAAATACTAGAATGCGCCCTAGTGGAAATGCTAGCAACCTAAAATTTCACTTAAATGTTATGCTTAAGTTTATCGTCTTGAATCAGAATTAGAACCTTATTAAAATTTTCACAGAGCCTCTAAGCATGGTGTTATAGGACTGATGTCTTCCTTAAGAGAAGAACTCTTCGTGTCAGACAAGGAACAGTGTATTCGCCTTACAACCATCTGTCCAGTTCTTTTTGACAGTGGGTTTGTAAAACGACCCCACAGCAGGTAAGTTTTCATTTATTTAAGCTATACTATTACATATATGCAATCTATACAGTAAACATTAATTTACAGTATAACAATATTAAAAGTTCTAGATAAACATCAAAACAATTACTTACATTTCAGAATTGTCATTAATTGGGATAATATATCATACATCTTTGACTTGTGTTACTTTGGCGAACTGTAAACGCAGTTTTTTTATCATTACACGTTAACAAGATTCAATCTACTTTGGCATAGCTTTGTGTTTAAACTGGACCTCTATACTATCATATATTTCTAAATGTTTTACACTTAACTTTTTGTAATTAAAAATTAGCTATATAAGTAGATTGTATTGGACACGTTTATCTTTCCATCGGGTTGATCATAAAACTCCTTTATTTTTCTGTTTCTTAAGCAGTTTTTATAAAATTTTATTAATTTATTTAAATATTATTTTGGTCTTTTACCGGAACCAAGAGAATCATTCCGAATATTATGACAAACAATAATCGTAACCAAAACAAGCATCAGTATTTGGATATTATTTGGTTTCTTTCTTACTTTGCCACTTTTTTCACCTATTTTTAAATTAATCTAATACATAAAAAATAGATGTTTCTTAAATTATTGGAAGAAATATTGTGAAACACACATCTATAAAAAAATATTCTTAATTTATTAGCTATAGTTCCGGCATATGTCCTTCGTTAGGATTACAGAATATTCTGTAATTTTAACAGCTAAACCCGACGAAGGACATATGCCGGAAAAGTAACTAATAAATTACGATTTTTTTTTATATTCTACACACCTGTTTTAAATATCTTTTGCAACGCATTGCTGTTTTTTCTAACCTGCATTTTATCTTAAATTGTTTTTTTTTTGGTGGTATGTATGCGACATCTATTGACATGTTCATTAAATAATACTAAATTAACATTAATAATTCAGTGTTTTATGTTCTTATTTTTTGTATTTACACACGCCTAATATTCGTTCTTATGATCAAACTTTACTGTCTATTAGTGAAAAGAGTTCAATCTAATTTTCTTTCCAAGGTTTCCCACGATTTTACCCGTTCTAACTGTAAATAAAGTAGCTCAAGGAGCTCTGGATGGAATATTACGAGAGAAAAATATAGTTGTATTGCCATCTTGGGTTGGATATTTCTTTAGTTGGTCTAGGTAAGTCATATGGATTTGTATTATTACGCAATATGTCTGAGATATGAAATTTACCTTCCATGCATACCTGAACATATATGTAAAACATGACACATTGATGAATGTGTAATCCTAGCATTAAAAAACAACAACATATTTTTTACATTCTTAAACCACTTCTCTCCAAATTTAATTTTTACATGATTTTATTGCCTGTTTATACGCTAACTTTAGTTGGCACGTTAATCGATTCTAAAATTTCTAACTGAAATAAATATATCTTAATGTGAGATATTACAAACAAACAAAAAAAGAAACATTACCTTTTCAACTTTGTGATAAACTGGTTATTTTAGTATTAAAATTTAAGAGTTGATGTTATGTTCCATAGTTTGTGTGATATTGCGTCCATAAGAATTTAATATATTTTGTTTATTTTTTCACAGGATTTTTCCAGACAGTATATTTTTGTCCATTCAGAGATTTTTGGAACATTATCCTTTGCCGACAATCAAAACAAATTAATGAAAAATGCTATATATAATAGCTCAATGTTACTAACTGAATTGGAATTGATATGTATCATACATTGTTTACACCATTATCCAATGGGTCCATATGTCCCGTACGAATAAATCAAGGCGTTTTGATATAAGCAGTTTTTATAACTAAATACTACTTATAGTGACACTTCAAACTGATTTACCAAAAGTTAGCGCTTCAAAGGATTTATAAATAATAAGTACTATTAAATGTTTAATGCTAATATAAAGCATAATAGTCTAAAAGATACAACAATAAACACTAGGAGAACTAAATCAGGAAGGATATACAGTGCTGCTCTGTAGTGATATACAGTGCTGCTCTCTAGTGAGCTATTGTGCTGCTCTCTAGTGATATACAGTGCTGCTCTCTAGTGATATACAGTGCTGCTCTCTAGTGAGCTATTGTGCTGCTCTCTAGTGATATACAGTGCTGCTCTCTAGTGAGCTATTGTGCTGCCCAATGCATCAATGAACATTAATTTTGATCACTACTTTATCTGCAGTGTTCCAGTCGACCTGATGAGCCCTAGTATAAGGCAAAAGGCCTCGTCGGCACTGGATATGGTAAATATAGTGTAGTCGACATAATATATTCTCCTTTACGTTCAGTGATAGGTTCTTAAAATTACTATAAAAAACATGGAAAACTTTACCTTAGATGTGCAGTAGAAAACGTAAAAGTTTGAATAGAAAATTTATTAAAACTATGAAACCAAGTTGCTCAATAATCATCTAACAGGTAAAAGAAAAAATCCGTATATTTTATTGTATTCTCATTTTGGAAATTCTTTCTGTTATTAAAAATAATGTACTTTCTTGAGTTGTCAACAATTAAAACATTTATTATTATTGTACAACGTTTTTGAAACATACATCTGACCATATTAATATGTAACAATCATTACGACAATATATCATCGTATAATTCACAATAATGCTTGTAGTAATATATTTACACTTTTGTTTTTAAACTGAAATTTGTTAAACTGTGCACATTGTACATAATAGCCATATAATTTTGTATTGTTTTGAAAGCCCCAACGTTGGCTTTTCAGCTCAGTCACTAAAATAACCCGATATTTATCTTATCACTCGAAACTGATTTTACTACCCTTCGTAATAATAATTACTAACATTATTTCAGCCTTTCTTTGTTTCAACGCCAACGAACAATCTGTTGAAATGAGCACCAAGTTGACGTCATCAGGCTGACCGAGTTATTTTATCACAGTTCCAGCAGTTGTTACTTTAAAAGAATATACAAGTCAGACTGGGTTGACTTAAAAATTAAATCATTGTTCGTGGTCACCGGAAAATAATTGAGTGCATGCTTTCCATTCATTAAGAAAGTTGATATAACTCGTTTTCTTTACAAAAATCCGTATTCTTACGTTTTCTCTAACATTTGAACAGGAAAAAAACGTCATGAGCTACTATGACGTAGTTTCTCTATTTTATATTATGAGATTCTTGATTTAGTGATATAACAAACAAACAAATAGAAACCCTGTATTTATAATGACTTGTGGTCCGAAGATTAATTGGTCCTTTGTGAAGTTACAGCAACAGGGCGCCATCTATTCGTGCAAAAAGGTACTAAACGCTTGTTTCAAACTGAGTACACCGGAGTACATCTACAGGCATAGGGTCCTTTGGTGAACTATGATTTTCATCTTCGTGAAACTGAATGGAACCAGATTTGTACCACACCACTGCGTCCACTGCGAAAGCTCCTAACATGATGGCCGCTGTTATACCGTGGAAATACATTCGAAATTTTGCTGGGTCATAAATCCGACATGCGCCCTTGTCGCCACAATCGCCCTCTTCCCAAAATAAGCAAGCAGAATCGACGACAGCACCATATATAATTGGACAAGGAACGTTACCTGGAAAATAATGGTTTGATATCAGTCCTATGCTAATATACAGAACATTAAAACAAAATTTACAGACATACAACAATCCTGGGTTCGATTCCTAGCGGTGGACGTGGTGCAGATAGATTATTATGTTGCCTTGAACGAAAAAATAACATTAACACCAAATCTATATATTTTCTCTTTACATTACCTTTAGCATCAGGTACACTAGTAACTTGTAAAAAAGGTTGCAGAGGAGAATTCAGTGCAAAATTTATCGAAACTGGTTAAACTTCATATTCACTACAAATGTATAATGTAAAAAAAAAAAAAGAAGAAGAAGAAGCTTAAAAGACAAAATTCTCACTAGATTCGAGCAAACCCTTGCATCTGTGATGATTACACGACAAAAATGATAACAGCATGTTGGACATGAAGTTAATATTTTGATCAACCATCTGTTTTATACAGAGAAAAGCTTCTTTATTATTATAATGAGAAAAAATAAAAATGGCAAACTCTTACCGAACAGTCCAATAGCAAAGTATATTAGTCCTAAGGCAAGGGCTTTGTCCTGGGGTTCGACACATCTAAAAACAAATATTTGTCATTACATATGTTAGCAAAAGAAAAAATTAAAACTTAATAATTACATAAAAATTCTACAAGTTTGCGTTTATTTCTAGCCATCCAGTACATCAGTTGTAAGCTTGAGGGTTTTTAACACTAAAATTCGGGTTTCAATCCCTGTAGTTGTTACGGTAAATATATAGTCCATTGAACAGCTTTGCGATGAACAACAAGAAAAGATTATTTCTAGTCATTGTCATTCTAGTTATTGTCCTCCAGTGGGTAAGCGATAAGTTTATAGAGTTGTAAAATCTGAGATTCAATTCCCCGTACTGGACAGAGTGCAGATAGTCCATTGTGTAGCTTTGCGCTAAACAAAAAAGCAAATCAAGTTTATGATAGAATTTACTAGAATTACAAAGCGGGAATCGTTATAGAAATTCGTGAGAAAAGTTAATCCAAGTCGTAATATCTAGCAGGCATTGAACTTATATTTACAGTGATATTACACAGGGTTGAATACGTTATATCAAAACGATTTTGAATATGCAAATCAGCAACTCACGTAACAATCATATATACATATATATTAGTCGAGGTGGAGCGGCACCTACCAGAACTACATACAGACATTGTTGAGCATTATATAGATAGTGTGATGCTACCGAAAATTAATCAGTTTTGGGAAAGGTATGTAACAGCCTTTGCAGACGCAAAATATTAACACACTTAGATTATAAAGATGCTTCTTTATTAACATGGTTACACGTGACAGTTCATATATAGGATGATTAACAGAGGTATAATCATGAAATATGTGAACCTATACAGGATGATTAACACAGGTAAGATATTGAAGTGCGTGAGCCTATACAGGATGACAATGAATAAGAAGATGTAATAAATGTCACAACCACTTCCTTACCTAAAAGGAAGCATCTGGATACATGGCTGGTTATGTTGTTAAACTGTCACAAAAATAATACATTTTACAGATTATTGAGTCCTGGACGGAAGAAATTTATAGATGTTTCTCAATTTTACAACAAAAGGAAAATAGAAATGGATTGGTAAAGGCATCAATAAGTGTAATTAAGAGAACAAAAGGTTGTTTTGAGAGATTTCTAAATGCATCAAATTTTTATCCTCCTCAAGCAATTATAATTGGCCTTGGAATACAGATTACTGTTTTGAAAGTAGTTTCTGGTTTAGATGGACAATTTTTTGAATATAACTATGTTTATGGTTTGATAAAGCATTTAAATAAGTGCTATGTAAGATACGAATGGATCATCTTGCTAAGCAACATTCTGAAAACGTTGCAGGTGAAAAAATGAGTTTCAAATTCTATAGAGTATTAAAACGCTTATACAACAACTAGTGTAAAGAGTGCTGCTTTACGAACTTTCAAATTAGCTTACTTGTATACACATATGTTATTTAATATAACATTATTATGCTGTAATGATAAACAATTAACTATAGCACTTAAGAGTTTTGTGCTATTTCAATATTAATACTTCTTTTGTATTCATACTGTGCTTTCTACTTTACTAGAGACATATTTAACTTTCTACAGACATTTATCACTTTATTATTAATATAGCAAACCAAAATAAAATAAGTTTAGTCCAACATTTTGTGTGTACGATGTCAATTCTACAAACAAGTATTTGGGCAATTTATATAGCCATCTTCTTTTCAAAGTTACTATGAAAACTAAAAAAAATTAATATGTGAACAAATGAAAATGTACAGAGACATCTCAAAGTAAATAGACACCATGATGTTTATTCAATAGTCATTCAATTAAGAAAGGCATCCAACGGCTCCCATGACCAAGTCAGTCACCTAATATGAACCCCAATGAGCATGTCTGGGCCATACCTGCTCGAGCAGTGAGAAGAAGTTCCAGAAAACCAGCGTCCCGTGAAGAGCTACTTGATGTTTTGTGTGCAGCTTTGGTCAAAATCCTACAGGAGAAAATTGCAGAACTAATCAATTCCATGCCAGTCAAAGCACTGAAAAATGCTAGTGTCAAATCGGCTAAGTACTGATGCACATTTGTAAACCATTTTTGTCAAGTTGATAATGTGAGATAAATGACTATTGAAAAAAAAATCATGGTGTCTATTTACTTTTGAGATGTCTCTGTACATACTGAAGTGACACCCAGTGGCACAGTTGTAAGTCTGAAAACTTATAGCGCTAAAAACCGTTGTAGATGTATCAGAGATAGCCCATTGTGTAACTAACTTTGTGCCTAACTACGAACAAACATAGCAAAGTGACAAAAAATGTGAGATCAACAAAACCGGAAGAGTGAAGTGATTACAAAGCATTCAACCGTCACTTGGATATTATTGTCCATGTACTTGATGACCATACCTATGTTAATCATCCTGTATAGGCTCACGCACTTCAAGAGCATACCTCTGTTAATCATCCTGTATAGGTCCATGTACTTGATGACCATACCTATGTTAATC